TCTAGTGAGCTCCCACTTCCACTCCCGAGACCACTCAAGGGCCCTAGCCATGCCCTCACCCTTAGGGAGTGAATTTTCTTCCCGAGCATCTGAGGGGACAGCAGCTCTCAAAAGGGCTGCTGCCCCTGCCTTTTGACCACCCAGCCCTCCCCTCCTGCGCTATCCCTGTTGTCCTTACTTGAGCCACAGCAGAGAAGTGTCCCTTCACATGTGCACTGGACCCACACCCTCCAACCTCCTCGGGTTCGTAGCTCCCTAATAATCTTGCCTTTTCCCTCCATCTTCTCTCTCTACTGACTGTCTTCATCAGGATACCGACATCCACTGTCCTCTTGATGTTCATCTCCTTGCAACCCATGTTCCCTTCTTTCCTTCTTGCTTCCCTAAAATTCAGTCTCCATACCATGACCTTTATAAAACATAAGTTACTACCGTTCCCACTTAAAAGCCTTCAACAGCTTCCCAAGGCATTTGGAATATCAGAATCGAGTTTCCTTCCCATGGCCTGTGGCTGGCCCTGCCCGATCTTCGGTCACTCACATTTCCTTTTGCTTCTTTAGGAAAGTGAAATCCTTTCCTGTCCGAAAGCCTTATTCCATTCTCTCTGCCTGGAATGCTCTTCTCCCCACTCTTCAAGTTTTATACTCCTTTGAAACCTTTAGCTCCGCTTAAGAAGCCTTCCCTGACATCCTATGTCCACAGTCTTCCTGTTTTTCTCTTATCTGCATCCTATTCATTTTGGTTTGGCCAAACTCATTCTGATTTGTAATTACACATCTGCGTGTTTACTTGTTTACTTTCTGTCTCTTTCGTTAGCTTTACAACCCACGAGGGCTATGATTATGTTTCCAGTGACAGCAGAGTGCTTGGTACAAAGAAAGAACTCTGCATGAAATAACAGGGAAGAGAGGTTGTGTTTGGGGGTTCACAAAGTGGTGACCAGCTGCTCCCCTGATGGAATCTTCTGCTTCTCCTTATCTAAGCCAATTTAGCATAAAAGTAGTTTGTCACGGGCCTCTGGGTGGCTCAGTCAGTTGAGCGTCCGACTCTTGATTCTGGCTCAGGTCATGGTTTCACTGTTTTGTGCGTTCAAGCCCCACGCAAGGCTCTGTGCTGGAGGTGTAGAGCCTGCTTGGGATTCTCTCTCTATTCCTCTCTCTGCCCCTCCCCTGCTTGCGCTCTCTCTGAAAAATAAACATTTATGAAAAAGGTAGTTTTTCACATTTGCAGCATCCAGCAGCTTTGTGAATTCCAGTTTTGTTTTGAACTCTAGTGGGAAGCCACCCCGTGATCCCTCCATGTACAGAATACTCGGTGTCTAATACTGCTTTAAAAAACGTCAAGTACAACAGCAGTGTAATATGGTGCAAGGAACACAGGCTTGAGAGTCCTGACCTAGCTTCGCTCTTTGGTTCTCCTATTGCTTTTGTCACTCACAGACTTTGTATCGGTTTCCTCATTTGTAAAACGAGAGAACTCCGCTTAGAAGAGAGAAGAGTCCCTTCCAGTTCGTATGCTTTTGGCTGCAGGTTACCAGTAGCTTCAGAAATCTATATTTAATGATCTCTTAACTAGAACGTGGAGCCGCAGCCGTGATGGTTCTGGGGTTTCTTTCCTTCTGCTTTGCCATTTGCTTTGTCTCCAGGCCAGCCCGCGTGGTCATAAGATAGTTGCTGCAGCTGTAGGCACCACAGCCTCCCGTAAGAGCATCAAGAGCAGAAAGGGATGGGCATGGGGAAGGGCTCTCCTCATGGGTCTCCCTCCTTTCATCAAGAAGTAAACATCCTTCCCGGAAGTACCCTCGCAGACTTCCTTTTGTCTCGTTGACCAAACCACCTCATTTATCCCCCCTAGACCATCACCTACAAGAGGATTTGCTTAGCCAATATACAGTTCATCCCGGCTCAGGACTAGCCTATATTCAACAGTACTTGATTAAATACAGTTGAGTCCTGTGAACAAGAGAGAACGGGCAGGACTGTTGATCTCTGAGGACCTGCCTCATAAATCTAAATTCCTGTGATTCTAAGTGCCTGGCTTTTAGGGAGGCTGCCTTGTTATCCTGCAGAGACTAATAGCTTCTCTGGTGAGGTAATGGACAGGAATAACATTTTTGTAAGGAATGGCTGTACATTCCTGAATGAGGAAGGGAACAGAAAGGGTTTAGAAATAGATGGATTTCTTGGCTAAGGAAAATTCAGTGAGCAACTGAGCCCAGCAGGTCGTTTGTAGTAAAGGCCCCACAACTGAGCTGCCAATTGCTGAGAGCTGCCCTTCTTGGGAGCAGAAAAGATTAGGGATCATGGTCACTTACCAGTCAAGGTCTCTGTTAACTTCCTCAACAAACGGTACTGGTTCTCCTGACTGTCCAGGCCATAGCATCAGGTATTCCTAAGTAGAATCTTCTTTTAAACCGATTTGACAACAAATCAGATATGTATTCATAATGGCCATATAATTAAGAACCCACTATATATGTCAAACACCGTGCTAGGTCCTGGGATACCAATACAAAGGGACAAGGTCCTAGTCCTCAGGAGGTTGACATTCTAGTTGAGGGGAAAACACACATAACAGATAAACAAGCTGTATGCCAGGTGTGTGTCTGGGGCCAGAGAGTGGGAGTGGCGTCAGCCTGAGAGGTGATCAGGACAGGAGGTGAGCCTTGAAATAGGAACAGGTGTTTCATCGGTGTTGCGAGCAGCATGGGCCGGGAGGGAGCCGCTGGCTAGGCATGGCAGGCACTGGGTAGGTGGGGCTGAGGCCTGGAGGGTTCTGTGGGTCATGCTGAGAAATATAGGCTTTATACTGCAGGCACAGGAAATTGGACACTTCCCGTAGACAGGTCTTAAGGTAATGTGTATCGAATTAGCTCCCCATTTTCTTCCTAGAGGTTAAGGAAGGATTTTCTTTCATTTCCTCAATACATTACATTGAATACATATTATTGATCAATTATTAATAGCCAACTTTATAGTTTTGCTGTTAACCATATGTGGACTAGTTCATGGCAGAATGTCTACATTGTGTATTGTGATTTCTCGCAATTTTAAGTAAGATTTTAAAGGTTTAAAATTACTAAGAGTGATTTCATATTTGCTAAGTTATTTCCCAGTTTTTATCCATTTTGCTCCTAACAGAGAGAGGGGCATCACCAGAAGTGTTGCTCTCTAGCAGTTTCCAAAGGTATTCAGGGAGGATTCTTCCCATCGTCTGGGACAGATCTCTTGTGTATCTGTGGGGGACCAGAAGGATTCTTGCCCAGAGCCACCAAGGAGTGGTGACTCCTGGGGGCTCCAATTCTCACTTCTTCAACTTTAGTTCAGATGGCACCTTACTGATGAAGCTGCCTTGGAACATCCTCTCGAAAACCGCAGTCCCTGCCAGTCTTGGTCTTCCTTACTCAGCTTTTTCTCTTTTCACACCACACCTCTCCTTCTAACATATCATACAACTTACTGATATGTTTGTTGTTCATTATAAGTCATCCCCCCCCCCCCCCACTAGAATGTAAGCTTTTGAAAAGCATGGATCTTATGTGTTCTGTTTACTGATGTAGCTCACCACTTCGAGCAGCGCCTTATAGAAGACCTGTGCTCGTAAGTCGGTATGTGGGTAATTAGAAAGCACCCTCTGAGACTTCTCCCACTTCCCACTGACCGTTGTGGTCAACAGAGATGAGCTAGTAAGTCAAGAATGAAAATCTTATTGAGCTTGTTAGAGCAAAACTGTTCATACTGATTTTGCAGGTATCATGTTGAGGGTAAAAGGCTGTGGTGCCCTTTGAGGGTGAACCTGAAAGGTTGTCATGGGGAAAGGCCAGGGAACAAAAGCAGAGGTGGGGGTCTTGGACTCTGGTTACAGAGTACTGCAAACTGACGATAACAGATGATGTTCTTTTGGACAGGTATAAGAGTTTGGTCACTGGGCCCCGAGCGAGAGGAGTCATTGCTGGCCTCTGGGTCCTTGCCTTTGGCATCGGACTGACTCCATTCCTGGGGTGGAACAGTAAAGACAGTGCCATCAACAACTGCACAGAACCCTGGGATGGAGCCACAAATGAAAGCTGTTGCCTTGTGAAGTGTCTTTTTGAGAATGTGGTCCCCATGAGCTACATGGTCTATTTCAACTTCTTTGGGTGTGTCCTGCCCCCACTGCTCATTATGCTGGTGATCTACATCAATATCTTCATGGTGGCCTGCAAGCAGCTTCAGCGCACTGAGCTGATGGACCACTCAAGGACCATCATCCAGCGGGAGATCCATGCAGCCAAGTCCCTGGCCATGATCGTTGGGATTTTTGCTCTGTGCTGGTTGCCAGTACATGCCATCAACTGTGTCACTCTTTTCCAGCCAGCTCGGGCTAAGGATAAGCCCAAGTGGGCAATGAACATGGCCATTCTCCTGTCACATGCCAACTCAGTTGTCAATCCCATCGTCTATGCCTATCGGAACCGAGACTTCCGCTATACTTTTCACAAAATCATCTCCAGGTATGTTCTTTGCCAGACAGATGTCCTCAAGAGTGGGCATGGGCAGCCAGGGGTGCAGCCTGCTCTCGATGTGGGCCTATGACCTAGGTCCTGGCCTCTTTAAGAAGGCATACATTCACAATAAAGGGACAGACAGGACGTGACCAGCTGATTCCCATTGTTAAAGACAGCTACACCTTGTAAGCATATGGGCTGCCTCTTTTAAGTACTCCCCTGGAGTCACCACATACCTAGCTAATATGTACATGTTATTAGTAGGCTCCAAAGGCTCACAAATGTATTTATGGTTCTTTCTGGATGCTCCCACTGTGTGGATGATGCTGATGGCTTGAATGGATTATAAAAGACTTTTTTTTTTTTTTTTAAGAGTCTGCCTCTTTTTTGGTAGAAAATGAAACTATTTTACTGTGAAACACTGTGAACTATTGTAATACAAATATTTTTTAATTTAGAAGCAATGGAAAAACAAAAGTTGGACATACTAAAAATACATACTTATTCCTAGGAAGGTGACCAGGAAAATTAAAAGTTTAATTCTTCAGTCAAGAAACTGCTGTATTTATTTGGGGAAATGACACTCTAATAAGTTCTGAAGTAGAATATCAGATAACAATTTTCCTAACATTCTTCTCTGCATACTGCAAAGCCATACCCTAGAGGAAGAAACTGGAGAAATGGGATCGATCCCTCCTCTTCCAGACTGCGTCTTCCCCTTCTAGAGTTAGGCAGTGATTTTTAGTTCTCTACCAAGCTGACGTTTGGCCAAGTTGCTGGAACCCAAGTGTGAAAATTTTAGTAAGTAAAATCCTAGAACTGTGTATGTGTATGACATGAAATAAAAATAAAACTTAAAAAACCAGCTCAGGGTGCTGAATCTACCTTCTATTCTTTGTTCTGAAGACTGCTTAAAGGGAGAAGTTTATACCCAGCCCAAGCTTCCCAAGTAGGAAAGTCCTGACAGCTTTTGTGTGCTGCGCCTCCACGGAACCCAAGGCCCTGGCCACCAGAGAACGCTGCACCACCTGTGAGCCGGTCACACGGCTCTCCAGCACCTGCACCTCGTGTTTCCTGGGCCGTAAAATCTCTCCCCTCTGTGTGTTCACTGCTGTAATATCTGCACAAGGAAGCTGCAGGTGTGCAAGCCCCGCAGACAGCATGCCTGGCCTTCCAGGCTCCCGTTCTGGCCATGAATGGCTTTCCTTAGGAAGTTCTTCTGGGCTGAGGTGGCCTCATCTTCACTGCCATCTGTCCTTACCCCTCACTCTCTCGGGGTCCAGACGAGTCCCATCTCCCTCCCTTCTAAAACTCTCCTCTTGGAGTCTCTTTTCCATTTTCTTGTTCAGACTGGAAATCCTTGGTGGTTTCTCTACTTCCTTCAGGGCATGACTTTGTCTCTTCCTTCATTTGGCTTCTTATAAAGCTCAGAAATGCACGCAGAGCAAAACCAGCCCTTTCCTTGCTTCAGATACACCTTTCTAACAATACAGCTTATGTAAGCTTTTTTGGCAACACCACCGGGAGCTAAAGCTCAGTGAAACTAAAACCCCGGAGTCTTTTTATAGTTGCTGCTGCTTAGCCATAGCTCTGCTCTGCTCTTTTGTTGCTGCAGAGTGATTCCCTGGACCCAAAGAAAAGAAGTAACACTTAACTCATCTAAACTTTTTCTTACCAGTTTCATCTACCATTCCAACCTCTTAAAAATTACTAAGTACTTCAGTAACTTAATCTAATTGCAGACAGGGTGTGATAGAGATTAGGGTTTGTTTGAGTCTAAAATGCTTGATTCCACCTCAGAAATTTATCCAAGGTCCTCACAGGCGGGTTCTGATTTTCCAGAAGAACTGTACAGAACTTCAAACCATACACACATCCTGGGTTGCAACTCACAGTCTCTTGTCCAGGAGGGAAGAGGGACAGTAACAAGAAGTCTCCAGAAGATTATTTCACCTCTCTTCCACATGAACCACGTGTTTCCTGGTGGGACTTCTATTTTGAAAGATAATGATGCTTAATCTATACCTTTTATGCTTTTTGTTTCTTCTCTGCGAATAATACGTCTGTCAGTTGCTTGTCAGAGACCTTCAGCTGTCGGCAGGTCCCTGTCACCTGGCTAAGATAAACTGCCAAGAGATGCTTGCACTGGAATACAAAACACAACTCTGTTAATCGGCAGGGCCGAGATAACCAAGACCTGTCACTACATTTAGTAGGAAAGCAGTGGGCACACAGATTAAAGACTTGCTGCCTAAAAACTGCAGATAAAGGTGACACAAATGTATTCATTTCTGGAAATCAGAGGGGATAAAGGAAGTTTTACTTTGCCTGTTGTTTTGGGAAAGTTTAGGCCCAGCTGGCACAGGGTGTATCACCCACAGTGAGAAGCAAGACAGGCCCCTCATTGCAGTCTTTGGCTCTGCCTCTTTCTTCCGGCCTTCAGAAAGCTATTCGCAGCGATGGTGAACGTTCCTTGACCTACTGTGTTGCTCAGTGCTTCCCACAGACTGTCTCACTTAAATCTGTCAGCTACCCCATGAGGACAGGTCTTATCCCCATTCTACCCATGTGCCCAGAGTCTACGCTCCCTTAACCACTGTGCTGTACTACGGGGGAGGGTGGTGAGCAGAACCCTCAAGACAGCAGCCTGTGGGGAAGTGCTGCGCCTTATGTCACAGAACACACAGCTTAGATACTGCAGGGGCCCTAATTTAATCCTGTCATTTTACAGGTGAAACAAACTTAGGGCACATCAGCTGCAAATGCGGCCTTTCAACAATCAGATGCCCAACTTCCCACCGCCATTCCCGACATGTTACAAAGTTAATAGTGTAAAAGAAAGGGGAAGAATGGAGTGGATACTATAATCTTCCTTGGGAAGACTGACAAAATAGCTACTTGCTCTTAGGTGGGTAATGCTGTTCTCCTTTGGAACAAGGAGTTGTGTGAGTATGTCTTGCTCCTGCTTGGTGCTCTGGGCTCCTGTGAAATTGGCAGAAATATCAATGTGCTCTCCTACCCCGTGGTGAAAATCAAGTATGGCTAAGTGCCAGGCTGTCTTATGGGTGTAGTGGGAAGAAATACCTCATAGCTGAGTTGGGGATATGCAAAGTCACCAGCAGTCACTTTAGTTCATATTTCTGTCGGGCCGTCTAATTCCCCAGTGCCAACTTTCAAGATTACCTTGTTGCCCTCCCCAAAGTTTCACCTGTGACCTTTTAAATAAACAATTGGGAGGGGCGCCTGGGTGGCGCAGTCGGTTAAGCGTCCGACTTCAGCCAGGTCACGATCTCGCGGTCCGTGAGTTCGAGCCCCGCGTCAGGCTCTGGGCTGATGGCTCAGAGCCTGGAGCCTGTTTCCGATTCTGTGTCTCCCTCTCTCTCTGCCCCTCCCCTGTTCATGCTCTGTCTCTCTCTGTCCCAAAAATAAATAAACGTTGAAAAAAAAAATAAAAAATAAAATAAACAATTGGGAAATGAATGTAGATCTAAAAAATGACAGTGCATTTTGGGAGGGTAAACCCAAAAGACAGGACTGAAATCCAGGACAGTAAACCGTTTGCTTCAACAGGTAGTAAAAATTCTCACTTTGTACAACTCAAACCATGCTAAGGGGGCCAAGAATTTCCCTCCTAATTCGACTGCAGTGGGAAGAGGCTTCCCCATCCTCACCAGCAGGCTGTCACTCTTCCGCAGCACGGAGAAGGCAAACGCAGGACATGAGCAGTAATGACAAGAAGCCAAACATGTGTACGTTTTACCAGAACTTCCAAGTACCTACAAAGGAAAGGACAGATGGGATCAGACTTCAAAAGGTGCGCTGGAAAAGCACTTCCCTCCCCTGACTTTATCCGCCTGATGACTCAGAGCAGCTCTGCAAACCGTACTGGGAAGGGCTGCGGTAACGTCTTACACAAAAGTGAAAACTCAACTTCCCCATGTACAGGTTCTGTCCTTGAGGACTTCAGACCACGAAACAGGAGTTTCAGGCTAGTTAGACCATCCACATGAGCCATTTTGTTCTTCCATCTAGTGATTTACAGGGTCCACTCCATGGGCTGCCTAGAAAAGAGGTGGACGGGAAAGGTCCCCTCAGATACACATTATTGTGGTGTTTCTCAGCCTTTGGTATTGCACAACATGTGTGTACATTTCTGAAGCTTCCACCGCACACCTAAACAAAGTGTGGAACAGGTAAAGAGCAAGCAGTGAGGCAGAAATACAGGTCTTCCAGAGAAAGTAGGAAAGGCCTCTTGAAAACCGTTTGAGAGCAAGGAGAATAAATAAAGCAAAGAAGCCTGCAAAAGGGATGACTCAGCTGCTCAGGGTGGAGGTCTCAGAACGAGGCACGCCTGGATCTGCCGATTCACCTAGCAGGATGGCAAGAGGACGCAGGTAGGAGGAGGGGTTGGTAAGAGGCCTAGTCCAAGAACACATCGCCTTGTTGGCAGGCAAGGGACAAAAAGGAGACGTACAGTGAAATTATGATGTGTCTGTGGTGGACAAACTTGTCGGAGAAATCACTTGTTTAAGCCTCTCTACCACCAGGGAGCCCAAACCAAAAATGTTAAGGGCTTCACTCCTGGAGTTAATTTCCAAACTGGAAGTGTAACATCAGTATCCGAGGAAGCAGAAACATCCTGAGGGTTATTTTACCGTGAGATGCCACTTAGGAATTTGCCACAGGGCTTTCAAATTAGTTTTAGGCTCCAAGATGGCAATCTGAATGAAGAGGCCAGGATGAAAAAAAAAAAAAAAAAAAAAAGTCAGCACTCCTAAGATTCTTCCTTCTTTCTCCCCAACAAAGAATAAAGCAACAGGTAAGGCTTCAACAGAATAGCAGTGTTCGAAGTGTCATGCTCGTTTGTCAAACTGACAGCAGCTAGAAAGCAGACTGTTTTCCACTTAATCCTGGGGAAAAACCCAATATCCAGCAGTGACATGAACAATTCTTAGGTCTCCAACTATTACTGATGAATAAAACTTTAGATTTCTTCCTTTATCTATCTCCTATGTTTCTTCTCCCTGGATTTAAATTTAAGCAGGCACAAGCCTCTGGAATTCTACACTCACTTGAATGGTTCCTCAGGTCCCTTCTTTTTGTGGGTCCCCAATCCATGAGAATACCCTGGATGATGCTGAATAAATGCCAGGTGACTTAGGGATGGGAAGAAATTCTACAGAGGTTCCCTTGCCTGACGCTTTCAAAGGCTGGCTGAGACTAAAAGTAAAATGTTCAAGCGTCCAAGGCAGTAAACACTGTTGTGATAGCAAATTTTGAATTTGCTTCTTCCTTATCTAGCATCAGATGACTAATAAACCCAATAATAAGGTAAAAATCTGAGTCAGAAATGATTAGAACTGGAAATTGACCTCAGGGATCATCTAATTCAATTGCTTTATCCTCCAATGGAAAAATGACCTCCTCTTACAGGAAGTGCCCCACTTCTCCCACTCATAGTCTGGAATGTTCATCCCCAGAAGGAGAGATTTTAGAAAAAAGTAACACGTGGGAAATAGGATACTGAGACCCAAGAGCAGACTCGTATGAACTTCACTTGGAGGACGTCTGCTGTGGTTCCAGTTGGGTTCTAAGAAGTATGACCCACCTAGATGGGCATCCATTCACAAGTATAGTTTTATTTTATGATTGCTCCAAGCCTTTTAGGAGCCATCAGAGTGCTAAATGTATTATTTATTGTTTCCTGTGTTCGGTGCCTCTCTCTGAAAGAAGATTATACATTCCTGCCCTATTAAATACCCCTGGCTATGTGACCTGCTTCAGCCAATAAAATGTGAGTAGCCAAGCAGAAACATTAAAGATTGGCACACACCACATCCTCTTTTCTCTCTGCTGTGAGATCCACAATATTCCAGAGAAGGACTGCCACACCAGCTGGGATCCCTGCGTGACGATGTTTTGGAGCAGAGCTGCAATGAACTCTCAGTGGATATGAGGCATGAACGAGACACAAAACTTTGTTTTCATGAGCCGCTGGAATTTGTTAACCACAGCATAACTTAGCCTCTCCTGACCAATGCCTCCCCCTCCCTACCTGAACCAAAAAAGTTTACAGAAAAGCGACTCAGGTGACAACAACATGGTGGTGACTTTGCAATAATTACCACTGTACCTGGAGGAGAACAGTGCGAGTATCAGGTTGACCTATGGAAAGAGACTAGCAGGATATCAAGATAGTGTCTGACTCAACTTTTATCATGTCAGAGAACCTCTGACTAAAGCCAAATTCTGACTATGTTAGTATACAAGGAAACCATTAAGGTTCAGTTGAGGGTGGACGTAAGATTTCTACAGCTTCATTTAATTCAAAGTCCAAGCTGAAAGCCACAGAACTAGGAAGTTAGCATTTTTATGATGAATAAAGCAATGTGATATGGTACAGGCTGGGAATGAGGGAAGTTAAGTAAGCTGTGGCAACCTTGGAAGAAACAAGGCAACGATAATGAAAATATCTCAAACAAAATCTTTCAGACTTTAATGACCAGATCACAGAACTAGAAGACTAGAGGTGCAGGTCAGGTGTAATGCTAACACTGGAATGGAGACAAAAAGTCAAACTAAACAATGTGGGAAAAACTCACAGGCCCTTCTTGTTCCGGGTACTTTAGCTACATAGAAACCCCCAATAAACACACTAGGCAGAGAAATGGAAAAACCTCGTCAGGCACAATATCATTTAATAGCTGTGATCTGTTAAGCCTTCTGTCCTCTAGGTCTGTGACCTAGTCATTACTTAAAATCTGAAACATTTTGTTTGAGGTATTTTATCTGCTAAGTTCGCCCCGACAAAATTCTAACAGGCAGCCTCTTTTAAGTAAATACGACCCGAAATTTCTAACTGCGGCACTCAACATTAGTCACATCATTTTCCTTAATGAAGACATGAATGAAGATTTTGCCAGACTGGTTAAGTTATGCTACCATGTGAAACGGCAGGTTAATTCACTAACCAAAGGCACCAAGCAGGCTTTGCTCATTCTCTCACTAAGAATTAATGGACATGGTCTCAGCTCTGAGAAGTTCATCATAAATAAACCAGAATCCAAACACTGAAAAACTCCCGTCTCTTCCTGGTCTTCAGCAAGACCTAGATTACATACTAGAGCTGATGGCTTTTTTACTCCTTCCAAGCCAGACACAAAATGCCAATATTCTTCATTCACAACCTTCCCTTCCCTCAATCTCACTGCACTTACATGGTATCATATAGCTAAATTGGGGGGCGGAGGAGTGGGAATGGAATGTGGCCCCATTTATATATAAAAAGAGACACTGTAGGGCAGCAGTTACAAGTCCCAGCTGCCAGATGTGACTGTTAATTCACTCTTCTGCATCTCAGTTTCCTGAAAGATAAATACCTTGTTGGGTTTTTGGTGGGAAATAGCAACAAGACATGGAAATCTGAGTCTTTCAGAGTCTGTTCAGAGGCTATTACTTTACAAATCTACCTATCTTAAATTGTAGAGGGCAAAACTAAGGTCCAACTAGACTGCCTACATCTGGTATACTTAATGAATACTACCTGACAGTAGTTTTGAAAGATCACTTCTGACAGATCAATCTGAGCATATAGAAAGACCTCAAAATATTTTAGCATTTGCTTGTAGGCGACAGATAATGAACAAGATGGAAATATCAACCCAGTTTTTTGAGGAAAAGTGCCTGTTATCAAACCTGGGAAAGAAAAGTCGACTATGCTCCGTTAGACTTGAGAAAACAGCCTCTCCACATCATTGCTGGTTCTGTATGTTGCTCCTGGGCAGGGTTAATAAGTCATATTTATCTTATCTTAATTACTAATACTTAATTTTACTAAGTTGGGTCAAATGTTCTTCTATAATCCAGGAAATATTTAAGGCTGGTCATCATTTTCCATTGAGATTCATGAAAACATTTTGTCCTAAGGGATTTCTTGCTGAGATAATCCCCACCTCTGGATTTCTACCTGGTAAACACGCCTCCCACTGGGCGATGAGATTAAGGTGATGGACTGTCGATCAACAAGGTCCAAGGCCTGAATGGCTGATGGGCCAAAGATGAACTTCAGCCTGAGAAACAGAGAGGCTACAGGTTAGACTGCCTGTCACCTCAGCAACTTCGCCCAAAGGATCACAACTGGCAGTTGCAAACAATTCATTTCATTTTAATTTTAAAAAAAAAAACCATTAAAAAAAAAGGCAATATAGGAGAAACCCATGTAATTAACCCCCCAGAATGTTACCATGTTTGCAGATAAAACCCTGTTTATACTTCATAGTGCTTCATAGTGCTTTCATGAAAGGATGAAAACTTCCTTTCATCCCTGAGGCAACTGCATGCATTGGTTGGTTTCCTTCCTGTTAACGTTTTTATATTTTATTATACTTAGTACATTGAATACGTATACTTTGCACGCACACACATATGCATACGTATACGTATATATACATGTGGTATTGTAAGTTTTTTCATTACTATTTTTTTTAATTTTATTTAAATTTTATTTAATTTGCATATTTATGATCACTAGTAATATTAACCCTTTTCCCCAAAATTTTTAGCTAATTTACATTTTTATTATTTCCCTATTTTGTTTTAAAAGTAATTTTTTTCTAATGCATAATCTCTGTAAAAAATTTAATAGAGAAAAGGTTAAAACCTTTTCTAAACCTAAATTCTATCTCTTTTCTTTCCTCTAAGAAAGCCACTGGTACAGTTTGGTATATATCTTTCTAGACCTTTAAAACATAAGCATACTGGGGTGCCTGGGTGGCTCGGTTGGTTAAGAGTCCGACTCTTGATTTCAGCTCAGATCATGATCTCATGGTTGTGAGACTGAACCCTGCATCAGGCTCTGCATTAGGCATGGAGCCTGCTTTAGATTCTCTCTCTCTCCCTCTCCCTGTGCACCCCCCCCACTCTCTCTAAATAAATAAATGTGTACATATGCGTATACAATTAAATGTCACTTATTCCTAGGTAGCTTTCACCTTTTTGTTGCTATTGAAAATAGTTATATTTTTGAACTTTGTACGTGAAGGAAAACAATTTTTAATTTCTGTAATACAAAAACTTTATTCTCTTGGTTTTTAAAAAGTTGTATCATCTACAAATAAGGATAGCTGTCTTTTCCTACAAATAGGTATGCCTCTAATTTCTTTTTCAGGTGTTAGGCTAACAGCTACAACTTCTAGAACAATGTTAAACAAAAATGACAAATAAGACAACACAAGAATGCCCTGTACTGTCAAATGTGGTATTGGCTATTGGACAGATTTTTAACAATCCTGTCAAGAAAATATTGTTCTCAGTTTAGTAAGGGTATTTTTAAAAATCAATAGTTGATGTTGAAAGGATCTGACTTTTAAAACACATTAATGGGGGTGCCTGGGTGGCTTAGTCGGTTGAGAATCCGACTCTTGATTTGGCTCGGTCATGATCTCAATTTGTGAGATCAAGCCCTGCGTCGGACTCTGGGCTGACAGTGCAGAGCCTGCTAGGGATTCTCTCTCTCCCTGTCTCTGCTCCTCCCCTGCTCATGCACACATTCTTTCTGTCAAATTAAATAAACTTAAAAAAAAAAAAATGGTTTAAAAAAATTACAACAGGATATATACTTACAATGATAAATGCTCATCAGGAACTGAAAACAAGAATGGAAAGAGAGTTAATCATGTTAAACCAGTGACCCCACAGGCACAAAAACCTTTAAAAGACTGTAACCAAAAAGGTTTTTGTGTAAGATGGTGATTAAGTCTATGCATCTAATTTTACTTCTTCCAAACACCTCAATAAACAATAACACAAGGATTTTTTTTTTTTTTTTTAAACATAAACTCCCAGGGATGAAAGGACAGGGAGAGACAACTGCTAAGATACACTGGAAAATAATTCACAAGACCTGAGGAAACTGAATCCTAAGCTAGCAACGGAGAAAACCAAACAATAACGTACCCTCTTCCCCCCTAAAATCCTCAGAAATTAGTAGCACTGGGTAGTTTTACAGGTAGGGATGAAGCAGGGGGGCTAAAGTAATAAAGACTCTTTTAAAGTAAATTTTAGGGGCTCCTAGGTGGCTCAGTCAAGTGTCCGACTCTTTGATTTCAGCTCAGGTTATGATTTCACAGTTCTGGAGTTCGAGCTCTGTGCTGACAGCTCAGCGCCTGGAGCCTGCTTCGGATTCTATGTCTCCTCTCTCTGCCCCTCCCCCACGTGTGCTCTGTCTCTCTCTGTGTCTCTCAAAAATAAATAAACATTAAAAAGAAGAAAAAAAAGCTTTTCAGACATGTAAAGGTTCAAAAAGTACACCTCATGTATTCTTCTTCAGGAAACTACTAGTGTATGTGCTCTATAAAATAAGATAGTAAACCCAGAAAAAGAAAATTGTAGATACACTACACATACAGCTCAACATAGGTAAGAGAATTCCTAGGATAAAAATGAAGGAAGATCTCAGGAGATATCCAGGAGAGCAGTCAGCCCATGTTCGATCAACTCTAAGCTCTAGGAGAGATTTCTATAGGAAAATGAAATTGATAGAACATCTCACTTATCTGAACATCTTGAGCAGGCATTTAGAACACTGGTAAAGAGTCTGAGGTTGAACTGGGGATAAATACACAGAAAATTAAAGAAACAAACACAACCACAACAGCTGTAATTCCAAGGAAAACAAAAAGTTACACAGGAAAGGACAAATAATTGCTTCCTACTGGCCCAAATGCAATACATATCACATCATCATACAAGTGTAAACTCAAATCTTGATCCAAAAAAATTATCATTGAAGGATACAGATCAGGAAGAGTGTATTACTATCTGGGACAAATATTTTGAAATAGCAGAAAAAGGTTCTGCTGGAAATAAACATGAATCAATGGCAGTGGGTCCTCAGTCTCAGCCATGAGCATTAGGGGCACCTATTGGGCCTTCTCCAAGAGTGTCACTGTGTATAGATTAACCCATTCAGACAGACCCGCTTTTTGCAACCACTCTTTGAGCTAATAGATTGGTTTTTCTCCCCATTCTTTTGGGGATTTGAACATGTCTGAATACCTGGCTGGCCTAACCTTTTAAGGGAATATACTATGCTTGTGTTAGCACAGCTTACTTTTCTCAACCCTTTAAAAGCAGGAACTCAAGACAAACCCTTTCGGAGTGCAATCCTTTTTTTTTTTTTTTTTTTAAGTTTATTTATTTTGAGGCGGGAGGGGCGGAGAGGAGAGCGACAATCCCAAGCAGGCTCCACACTGTCAACGCGGAGCCTGACTCTGGGCTTGATCTCACAAAACCAAGAAATCAACCCTAGCCAAAATCAAGAATCCCATGCTTCACCAAATGAGCCACACAGGCGCCCCCAAAGTGCAGTCCTTTTAAAACAAAAGCCACCCAAGTGAATAAGCAGTGGCAGTTTTGAGTCCTGAACTGCTATTAAGTGACTCTTTTTACACTGGTTAAGTAATTCTAATTTGTCAATGCATTTTCATTAGAATTATCGTCTTAATACTACTATGCTGAGAACACATCTTGAGATCACCTCGGTGATTTGGTAAGCATAGTCACAGAGCATCCTCTGCTGGTCAGAGAAATAAAAGGTGCTTTCACAAGATCCCGGTTAATTCCAGTTATTGCGTATGCATTTGGGTTTTGTGGCTCTAAAATATTTGGTGCACGCAGGGTACAAGAGGGTTAACTTTAAAATTAATTTAAGATTTTAGGGGCGGGGATACTACAGGCAAGTTGAGTAATTCAGAACCCCACCTTTCCGGACGTCCCTGCAGACTCCCGTGCCTTCCGCTGTCCCAGCCCGATGCCCCTTCTGAAGGGTTTCGGGACAGCGCTCAGCACTTCTGTTCCTACAGCCCCCCTGGCCTGCAGGGAACCACTGCGCTGCTCCCTGAACAAATTTAGATCTTCTTTTCCTTCCTTTCTTTTCTATTTATCTTTTACGAACTGGGGCTTGGTAATAGAACCAGACAGAATAAAGAACCCAGAGACCGGGGCACGGAGCGCGGGTGCGGGGCCCCAACCCGGCGCCCCGCAGGCCCAGGGAACTCCGCCTCTCGCCTCCCCGCCCCGTCGTGCCAGGTCCACCGCCCGCAACGCAGCTACGCACGCCCTCCGGCCCGTACTTCGCGCGTTCTCCTGCACCGCCGCGGCCATCTCACTCAGGAGCTCCTCCACGACAGCGGGCAACGTGAGTCCAGCCAAGGAGGCGGCCATGGCGTCATAAACTATGGCTTCCTAGGAGAGCCCAGAAGGCGCGACGCTTCGACAGGGAAGCGTCCAGGGAAGATTCCCGCCGCCGGCCGGGGGCGGGGCGAGGCGCAGTGACGTCGGCGTGCGTCACGCGCATGCGGGCGGCCACGACGACGCCTCCTCCTGCCTCACGGTCGGGCCAATCCGACGGGCGCTCGGCACTGGGGGCGGGACGGCCTGGGTCCGGCTTGGCCTGCAGTGCGCCGAGGACGCCGCGCGAGCATGTACCGGCTGCTGAGCCCGAGTCTGGGCCGAGGCCTCCTGCGGGCCGCGGGGCGGCGGTGCCGGGACTGCTCGGCGCGCCTGCTCCTGGGGCCGGCAGGAGGCCGCGCGCCTGAGGTGGAGGTGCCGGCATCCCGAGTCGCGCCGCGCGGCCGGGGCC